ATCTGCCGACCACCAAGCAATCAATGGTGCATCCTCTCCCACTCTCTCACTGAATAAACATGCCGAATCAAACCTCCAATTAACACAACAGAGCACTGTCCAGTCTTCATTATTCATTAAGCCACAAAAAGCTAATCAGCTGCAAGTACTTCTGTAGCTACTTAAATCTCCTCAAAGTGTCGATAGCATTTCATTTCTAGCACTGGTGAGCAATGACTGTATCTCTCAGCTATCTTGCATTTTCCACACGTCCCTCAGCAAAAATTGTTAGTAAGTATGAAATTGTCAAATTACATGTTTACACCACAATGCCTGAAAATTCCTTGGTAAATTACACCAATCTGTATCCAACTTTCATTCCAAGAACAAGAGATATGTGGAGTCAACATTTGGCTTCAGAAATTGGCTTACAGACTGTGGCGAACAATGTATTTACATTATGGCTTCTTTTTGACCATATTGACTTTGTTACGAAGAAAATTCCAAAAGTGGGAGTGTTGATTCAAGATAAACAACCAATAGATATATAAATCCTGTTCTATCCAAATAACAAGTGTCTGTCCTATATAAGGACACTGAAAATTCCAATCAGCTTTCCTTGACAGTGTATATATATTATAATTCCTGTTCAATTCATATATTATCCTGATCTTATAGTGGTATGCAGGGTTTTAAATTCCTACATGTATCGCTTATAAAGATCTCACTTTAACAAGGTATTGCATTTTCACATCAAACCAAAGCTATATCTGATTATAACCACAGATCTGAAATATAATAAGCCAAAAACAAGATTTGGTGATGCAGCTAGGATTTCTACAAAGGCTGGTTAATAGGATAATGAAATTTTTTCGCTGCTTACCCAACCAAGGATGCATTACTTCCAAACCCAATAAAAAGCGGAAGCAAATGTGCCTGTCAAATTTTTTCAATTATATCTACAGACTCTTCCCTAATACCACCCAGTTGCTGTTTTCAGTCTTTGAATTCCCCTCCTGGTTTTGATGTACAGGTAGTTTGGTTTTTAACAGTAATTAGGCCAATTATCATCAGTGATAACATCCAGGGCCAACACTGATATGCATCTACACTCTGAAAATGATGTCTCATTCATTGTCCATAATAGAAAATGGCTGTTCCATTCGGATCCCATTGAGCTAGGGCCTGAATTCATTAATGCATTGAAATGACATTACAGGCCCTTATTTCTCTGGTGTCAGGGTCTTTGTAAGCCCTAAGAGATGGACAAGTAAGATTACAGAACAAGATAAGAAAATGCAAGGGTTCATTGTCCTGAGCTTGAAAGCTCTCTTGAGAAAAATGTAATGAGCAAGTTAATTGTTACAACATTGAATGATATGATGTACCATTGATTCATGAAATAATAGATTGTGATAAGAGTGTGCTGATTGTTTAGAAATGTCCACCTTCACATCATCCCATTTTGTACAAATTTTGTCACATGGTCAATTATACTGTCTAGCAGTCTCTGCCATCCTACATCCATATGTTCTTTCAATATTTACTGCCATTCTTCAGTGAAAGTTTATAGTTCTGACTGTTACTGTTTTTATACTTTTAATCTGAGCACAAAAAAATCACATGAGACTATGTACACATATAAAATGATCAAAGGTCTTCTCTCTCTTTTGAATGCTGATAAGGTTATTCAGATACATGTCACTTGTTTACTGAAGCAGAATCGGAATATTGATCTTAATATGCTGATTGAACCAATATCAATGTCATGACTTTGTCTACAGACTTGCTAGGCAGTAGCTCTCTATAATCAGAATTATAGCACCATATGTTAACCCATAACATATCAGAGAACACATTGGCTATAGTAAACATTGGCTATAAAAAAGTGTATCTTTAAAGGTTTACAATGATGTTCACAACAGGTTTAAAATTTTCAGTGAAACTGGCTGAATGAGTTTTAAGGTATTCAAAATGCAGAAAACTTATTATTGATTGAACACCAGCTACTAATTAAACAGTTGCAGAATAATAACGCCTATTAATGATTCATTATATGTTTATGTATGATATACCATCATACAAAATTACCACATTTCTATTCTACTTCGTAACACAAGTAGAGAGATGCACCCTGCACCTCGAGGAGAGAGTTCCCTATCAATTCACTGTGGCTGTTAACATCACTTTACATCAGGGCTAATTAGAACAAGAATGAGAGGAATTCGTAATATACACAAAAGCTGTGAATGCAGCACCTTGCTCAACCATCCTCCTGTGGGAAGTACTATAATTAAAAGTATTGGGAAGGAAATTTTACATAAATTCTAGAAGTTGAGGCTGTCAACCAGCTATGTGCATTTCCACAGATGGACACACTAACAGAGTCCATGTGCAGATCCAGAATTTTTTTCAAGTGGGAAGGGGGGGGGGGGGAGTGTTCCATAAGGGGTCTATGTTTTCTACTGAGGGTTCTACAATTTTTTTTTTTTACTATATCAATTATTTAATAACTCTGAAAATTTCCACATGGGGAAAGGGGGGGGGGGGGTCAGTACTACCCCTTTAGAGCAGTGCACCCAGTTTGAAACTTGGTTTAACAGAGATTCAACAAAAATACAAAGAAATGCATACCTTAACATTATTTTTGACCATTCAGTAAAATTCAGTTAAATCAATGTAGCTCTAGAAGTAACTTTGTATGAATATATAGCTGAACAGAAATAAAAATATATACAGAGCAGGTCAGAAAACAACGCAATATAAAATGTATTGCAGCATAGCAACAGTTCTATGCACAATCTGTACATTAATAACATCAGGAAGGTGATAAATGCCTAGAGGTAAAATCTACCCACAATACAGACTTATATTCTACTTGAACATCAACCATTACTTCTAACCCTCATAACCATTACTGCAGTGCTGTCAATTATGTCATCTTGTGAATGTACATGCAGTACTCCATAATCATTACCAAAAGTGTGAAAGCATGAAATAATGTAAACATCACTGACATAGGGACTTGTCCCTGACAAAAGTATTAGCTTATGTGGGATTAAGAGTGATGGTCACACACATTCATGTCCAGTGGTCAGCAGCTCTAGGCAGTGGTCACTGCGTGCATATTGTATAGGCCTTCATTTTAATTATTGATTACTGTGGCCTACATCTTACTATTGGTCATGCACTTTCAAAATGGAGTGAAGTGGAAACTGCACAGTATTAGACATTTATAGTCTTCAACTATTTACATAGAGGAAATAACAATTAATTCTGGTCAGTCATTATCTAATGTAGTACACTGGTCACTAAGTAATACATGTAACAGTGGTTTGAGGTTTACATTATTGGCCTTCATACATGTAAATGATAAAGAAATCAAGACCTCCATGTGACTTGCTAACAATTTACTAAAACTTGTCTTTTCATAACATTAGTCAGAAATTAGTAAAGCTGTCAGATACAACAGTGCATTAAATTTGTACATGTACTTCAAAAGTTTTTGTGATGTATTCTTTCAAAGCATCCTTCTATTTAATAAAACTTCTTAAAGACAATTAGCATTTAAACAAGACCAATGACTGTAACTCTCTTTTAATACTTTGTTTTACAATTGATTTTGAATCAAGTAAATTAATACTGCAGAATTTGCTAATGCTTCAGCTCAGTTGCATGAAAGTCAATCCTACTAGCATCACATACTCCCAACTTCACAATTCCAACAGTGAACACAAATACCGGTTGAGAATCTCACATTCATCTGGGATTATATATACATAGGGACTCATGACTTAACGTCAGCTAAATATTCTCAGCCACTGTCAATACTTTATAATTCATCTTTAATTAATATGTGCATGTATTGAAAAGATATTTATGTAGCATATTTGTTGAATTTATAAGAAATTTATGTATCTCTATTCAGTTTACAAATAAAAGCAAGACAAAACAAGTTAAAACATTGTTTGTCATTAGTCTACATTGATAACTATGCCCAACTGTGGATTATATAATCACAATGAATGTTAATAATTGACCACATAGATCTACTAAGTATTACAGCAGTAGTTTGTCAAATTTACGACATTATTTTTTATTTTGTTTGATAATTCATTTTATCACTTAACTATGTTAACATATTAAAAAGTTTGACAAATAAATAGTGCTATTTTTAAAAGTTTTGCAAGGATATTTGAGAGAATCAATGACCCATACTCCTGAAAAAATTGAAAAAAAAAGTTCAATGAGAAAGTATGTAAAAAAAGTTTATATGTTGTGGTACATCAATAATAGAAATTTTTTAAGCATTATTACAAATTAAGTTGTCTTCATTTCGCAACATGCACTTTTTACAAAAACTTTTGTTACCTGGTCAGCCAATACACACAATCAATGAAGCATGGCATTTCTATTTGCAATCACCGTGAACAGATGGACAAATCAATGATGGTTTTATTGTATGCAGTGTGTGCTCTTAATTAAATGTTTGATCAATTAAAAGAAAATCAATAAAAAAAAAATCTTCTTTGGCCCCCAAACTATCGAAAACTGGTTTTGACATTTCACTGTGGCGTGAGCAATGTAAATATGCATCTCATTAATTTTTAAAGCGCCACATTTTTCGCAATGTTAACTGAAATGTGCTTTCTTTACCTTTCTGCCATCTTTCTATCAGTCTGAGATGAATGTTAAAGTTGTGTTACTAGCAGAAAACAGTTTCATTTTGGTCAAGTGGTTAGATCTCTTGTTCTCAATGATTCAGAGTCGGCCATCTTGGCATCCTAGGCGTTGTTACGCTGATTAAAGATGATAAACTGTTTGCGCCTGCGACAAAAACTACACTTCATTCCCTCAACAACAGCTTAGGAAATTCAATTCTGGAATTCCGAACAACATGATCGGGTTTTAATTGATGAATTCTTTGGTTGATTATGCCCATTACGTACGCACGCGCACATGCAACTTCCTTCATCAATACTCGCACTTCCTGTTTACATTTAGGCTTGTGTTGTGTCGGCATGATTTTGTGATTTTAGAATGAATTAAACTTTTATTTTCATGAAATATGTCAGAAAATGAATAATGTAGTAAGATCTCTATTTTATACACAAGTGTCAAAGTCTTGGAAACAAAAGGATTTGGTGCCTGAAAATAAGAACTGAAACAAAGACAGCCAAATATAGATCTACATACATTGTGTAAGTTTTTCACGTTTCTTATTAGGCCTATGGTATTGAATATCTTTCATTCATATAATCTATCTGATATGGCAATCAGTTTCCTCTTCAACTCTATAGTTCTGTTAATTGTTCCAGTGTTACATTTGCTTTGAACCCAATGTACAGCTGGGGGTATTTTCTAACAATAAATCTTAAATACTGTATATCCTACTTAGCACAGTGAACATTTATGACTGGATAGGGAATCAAAACCGTGACCCCAGCATTACTAGACAGTTGCTCTACAACTGAGCCATTTAGGTTGGTATCCACATGCAGTCCACCTCGCCCACCTTAATTATCACATTATGAATCCAGATCGATATACTGGTACTTGAGTCTTGATTCATGCATATGGACAATACCTATATAACACATACATGTATATAGTTATTTCATATATTATACTATAGGTATATAACTGAGCCATGACCCTAGTGCGAATCAGGCTAGTTCTAATTAAGATGAGCAAGTTTGGATAATATTATAAGGGGAAAAAAGGTGATAATTAATCCCATAATTTTTTATGGACGTGACAATAGCTGGTAACAACATTATACTAGAAAAATAATTGTGCATGCACAAGAAATTTATATGTACCTTTGAATTATAATACACAGAAATGCTACAAGTATGTTTCATCTTGAATTGTTTTGTTGAACTTCCAGCATCAGTCACTGTTGACTGGCTGATTTGATGCATACGATTCTGGACATATACAGGGTATTCAGCCTCTGAGCTGCAGCTTGTTTTATCAGTTTTTAACCCCTGATTGTAAATTTGTTTTTCAACAATGCCTCAGAGGAACCAAACACAGGATGGGAAGAAGAAATCTAGAAACTATATTAATCTGCAATAGGTCTTCTTTAACCTAGACATTACTTATAGAATTAGAAATAGCTGATCACAATTGCAAAATCATTATTGATATTTCAGAATAGCTATTATGGGGTTTGGAAGTGCCCTTCTATGTTTTATTTATTCATTTTATTTTTTATTATCAATATTTTGATGCGTCCCTGCTCCCCAAAAGAAAGTATGCTCTAATTCAGAGTAAAAATCTCTCTATTTGTTCCCAGTTTGCACATACTTTTTTTTTTTATTATTATGATTGATTCTTTGATGGTTGTAAAGCTTAAAAGCTTTATATAAGTTACAGCTAATCACTCAATCTTTTATAACTAACTTGCAGTTCCATGTTTCCGAAAATGAACTTTGGGTCCAGTATGGAGCGATTAGAAGAGGTGACACTGGAAGACTGGAATGATAGACTCCAGCAGATCCATCCTACCAGGGCAGACATGAACAAACTGGTGATGAATTACCTGGTCACAGGTAAACTGTTTTACAAACCCCAAAAATGTTTATGAAATGTAAAATCAATATTTTTATGAAATATATATTCTGATTAATTTCAGTCTTTTATTAATTCTTATAGAAATTAGGAGTGAAACGGTTCACCGCGGTATCGATGCACCGCGGTATTTTTTCTCGGTTTGATACACGGTGCAAAATCTCTAATTTTCGGTTCGGTTCATTTTTCGGTCGGGATCGTTATTCAGTCGGGTTTGGCATAAGGTATAACACGTTACTCAGAATAAATAAGTATAGAAAACGTAAATTTTTGATGACTGATAGCTTGTAAAATAATTTTTGACAGTCAAATAATTTTAATCAATTTCTTCTAGTCAATTTGCAAATAAAATTCGTAAAATATGTGACTAGATTTAGAAAAAGAAAGCATAAAACAACGTAGAATTTGTTTCCTTCAATCAAAATGTATCGTATCGAAAATAACCGAACCGAGACAAAATTATACAATACGTATCGAACCGTGAAGGAGGTGTATCGTTTCACCCCTAATAGAAATTCCATTTTAATCAGTGATTAATTATTTGTAAAAGCTGGAAATAGAGGTATGATGTCACTTACTCAAGAGGATAAAAAGCAACTGAGTTGCTGGGTATATTTTGTCATTGATTACTATGGAAATACATGAGCAGTATGTTATTTGATAGAACTTACTACTGTATGTTTTTATTTGGTTATAGCTACTTAACCAAAGCAAATTGAAAGACTTTCTTTCTTTCTCCATTTTTAAATGAGCTAGTGAAATACTGTATAATTATAATTAACAGTAAAATAAAACTTTACATATGGACTATAATGTTTGTTATTGTAAAATGAAGTGATATATATATATATTATTATAACAGTAACTTGATCCAAAGAGCCGTATGACGTCGAGTTGACAGGCACGAATCATCAGATCTAACGAGATGCGAAGCGTCGAGTTTGATCTGATGATCCACGCCTGTCAACGAGAAGTGACATGGCTCTTTGGATCAAGTTACTGTTATAATGATAAATTTATTATATACCCCTTTACAACTAGCAAAATATAATAAAAGGAAACTTTTTGGATCAATTACATAACTTTTATCCATTAAACAAACCATTTTGTCAAGGAACTTTTTGATGCACGAGAATAAAAGCATCATTTACCTGTGTACTACATCATCAGTTTCAGAGAGGGGTGATATGGATTCAGAAAACCAGTGTGGGATTACATCGTCACATGATTGCATAAATTCAAACAGTAAAATTGAGTGACAAACAGTTGTGTATATAATAAAGCAAGGAAATGTATGAAGTCTGAACAATCATTAATCATTTCAAAAATGCTATACACTTCTAATTCTTCATGTTTGATCCTTTGTAGAGGGATTTAAGGAGGCTGCAGATAAGTTCCAGAAGGAATCTGGGGTGCAGCCATTGGTAGACCTAGAACAGTTAGATGAGCGAATCAAAATTCGGGAAGCCATTCAGGAGGGCAAGATACAGGACGCTATCTCATTGGTCAACAGTATACAACCAGAGCTCCTGGACAATGACAGATACCTGTACTTTAGATTACAGGTGTGTTTTGTTGTTAATGCATTTATATCAATTTTGACACAGTGAACACATTCTTTTCAAAAAAATATATATTCAACAATCTGATGGATTCAGAGGGTGATTTTGTTCTGTCTTTAGAGAGACTTGTGTGTTCTATCACTGTATATTTAAATCTATGAATAAATTAATAATGTACAGATAGATATTCGAATCAGAAGCTTTGATTTAATCACGTCTTGATGACTTTATGAGTTGATGTAAACTTTGGAGCAGTTTTGGAATTTACCTAAAATTTAAAGATGTCATCCTTAATGACCCCTTGATCCATTTAAAATGGAAATTTCTTTTTACCTATATTTAGATTTGAGTCTTTTATATAGAAAAATGCCTAAAAAAAAGATTTTTCAATTACAATTACATGTATTCATGAGTTTGATGTTGCAATCATTTCATAATATGTAACAGATATAATTAGTTACATTTATTACTTAACAATTTACCGGTACCCAACACGTGAAAAATACCAAGGGAAAAAAGGGGCCTGCCAGGTGTAAAGTGAAAAAATTTGGAAAGATTTAAACTTTGACAGTTAGTTGTAAAATCTTGTTTGAAACAATCTTAAAACAAACATATTGCTCAAATTACAGCAACAGCAATTGATTGAGCTGATTAGAGAGAAGAATGTGGAGGCAGCACTTGAGTTTGCTCAAACTCAGTTGGCTGAACGTGGAGAAGAAAACCCAGAAATTTTGTCAGAGCTTGAGCGCACTCTTGCTCTGCTAGCATTTGAAAACCCAGAGTCATCTCCCTTTGGAGAACTTCTTCATCCCTCACAAAGGCAAAAGGTGAAGTAATTGTGAAGTACATGTTTAAGCTTGTATTTGAATTCACAGTCATGAAAAACAGAGTAAAGTTCAAAAATAGAATCAATCTTCATTCAATACTTTAAAAATTATTATGAAAAAAATTTAGTTTTGATTTTTTTTCTGATTTTCCTTCAGATGGTGCATATGAATTTTTGTCTTTTCTATTTTTAGATATCCCTTTATAGATACTAACAAATATGCAGACTGGAATATTTTACGATTATATCTTTTTTGTAAATTTCATTTAACATAATATTTCCTGTCATAAAATATACATAGTGCGATTACATCACAGGCCTTTAGATCACTTTAATCTGACTGACATATGTGGGGTATAAAATACTTTTAATTAATACCTCCGGTGAGATTAAATTGCACTGAAGGGTGTGAATAACAACAATTACAATGCTTATTGATAATGATCCAAAGAGCATTATTTATAAATAATTAGATCTTATTGGTTGGCCCATCATTGGAAAATGAATAGTTTGTTTTTCCTTTCTTTACCATCAATACAGACTTTATCATTTTGCTATCATGTAACAGCAGTTTACATTATCCCTGATGTCCAACCACTTTCTCCAAGATTGTTTTCATTGGTCTGTCTCCATTTTTTTCTTCATCCTGTCACTCTTTCTTTCCTTTGTAGTGTCCATTTTTTCTTAAGAAGGTTTTAGACCAAATACAACATATTTTGATTTTATTTAACTACATTTCCTTGAATTCCAAGTTTATAATATACCTCATTTAATATTAAATTGCATGTAGAAGGACATAAAGCATGAGTTATTGCTCTTTTGATGGTGTGAGTTCAATTTGCTTTAAATGTAATGTCATCCATTTTGCTATCTCAGTGATTTTTTTAGGGCCGACTTGGGGCCGAAATTCGGCCCCAGTCCCAATTGAAAATATGCCTGTATTTTCCCAAAATGTAATGGAAGTTTTCCCAAAGAAAAACTTACAAAATATGTGATCAAATTCAGTTTGTTTATTGCATGTTTTTCAGTGAAGTTCAAGCAGGTTTTGTTGTTCAGGTGGCAGGGGATAGTTTCGTACTAAAGACCCGGTCAAATTTCTTAGAGAATTGAGATATCCCCTGTTTGATGTGATATTTATGTAGAAAAATGATTAGAATAATTATGGGACACATTTGCAGTGTAGCAGAGTGCTTGCTGAAATAAATGATGTGCATTACATGTAGGTGTCACTATGACGCTTATCATATACAGAGTTGTAAATGCGAACCTTAGACACGTGGTCAGTTGCAGAGGAAATTCAGCTGAAAAGCAGTAGGCCTTAGAAGAAGGTGTGTATCTCAGAGGGAAGATGAATGGCCCCATATCAATTGGTGAATTTTCATTAGGGCATGCATTGATTTACAGACTACTGGGTGTTTTATCCTGCTCGCTTGGGCCTGGGGGGTGGGTTGTATGGGTGCGACTGAGGCCCAAATCTTGGAAAAACAAGCCAAAATTTGGGGAGACCCCAGGTGCATTTTGGGTATATGTGCACTCTACTAGGCAGATTACATGTAATTTGTTGACATAATTTGTGAGCCATGGGCATATGAAGTGTAACTAGTGCTAATTGTAACGGGAACCGTTACAGATGTTCCCCAAACGGCTCCCCAATCCCTTATGATGCCCCATTCCCTACAAGCTTCAATAAATTAGACAATACTTTTGTTATATAGATGGACACTTTATTTTTAAGGGTATTTCATTGGAAAACTACTCCGATATAGCCATATGGGTATTAGCCAATCAAATTTCAGCGCATGTGCTTGCACATGTTTTCTACATTTTTCACAATAATTTTCTTATAGTGTGTCACAATACATACATTTGTGTTAAATATTCAAGAATTTCATTGAAAAATTAGAGAGATGTAACCCTTTAAGTATTAGCCAATCAGAATTCAGCATATGCGCATGCATGGCCTTGCATTCAATTTTGATAGTATCATAATGTGGGAGCTCTATGTGCCTATCCATGTCGTAAATTTCATCCTGTTTTGTTGAAAACCAAGGGAGTTATGGACATTCAAAGTTTCAACCAATCAGATTGCAGCACACCTACATGCGCGTGTTTTCAAGAAATTTCCTATATAACATGTTGTAGCACCTTATAATATATACTTATATTCTAAACTTCAAAGTATTTTGTCAAAAAACAAGGAAATTATTGAGATTTTTGTTTCAGCCAATCAGAGAAGAGCCCACGTGCATGCGCGTGAGTTCACGCTAATTTGACCGTGTTATCTTGTCTAGACTACTATTATATCTTTATATTTTGAGTTTCAAAGCAATTCATCAAGAAATATAAAAGTTACGGCTTTATCAAGTATATCAGTCATTTCACTCATTGCACGCGCGCACACGTGCATGCATGTGCGCGCAAAATGACCTTCGTTCCGAACACCTACACAACATGCCTATTAACCCTAAAAAGGTTTCATGTCAATCGGATGAGTGGTTCTATGAGAACACTCCCGGACAAAAAAGTACCGGAGAAGAAAGTAGAAAAAAAGAATAATAATAATAACTAGAAACTCATTGCGAGCAATGAGAGGTCTTCCGTCCGATTCTGAAAATAAAAGCAAAAATTCACTCTGAAAAAGTGATAAAAGAAATTCAGCGTGAAAATTCAAGAAAGCTAACCATTAACCATTCACTTCTTTGCATCACTTCCTGTCACGACCGGAAGTAACGGCGATACAAGATTTTCTCACGATTCAAATAAACTGATGACTGACTATCAGACCTGAAAGTTTTAGACTTCAGTCGTTTACTGTTGCCAAGCAATATTGTGAGAATAAATTCTAATTTTGAGGACAGGTAATCACTCGACCGGAAGTGAATTTTATTTTAAAAAAAATCTCTGCAAACTTTTTCAATCAAAAAGATGAAAACATACATAAAACTCCTAAAAGACTCTCTATTAACCCTGTAAATCCCAAAGAAAAATATTGAAAAACAAAAAAGTTGCAAATTTAACATTTTTGAATTCACTTTCGTTTGCGACCGGAAGTAAGAACGACGAAAATTAATTGTCGATAAATATATCTACATTTGATGCTCTATCACCTCAGCAAGTTTCATATTCATATCTTTAGCCATTCTCTGTTGATACTGTTTACTTTCTTTTATTCTTTATGTATTCAACTTTTTATTTCATGTAAGTCCATATACAGGCATGTCCATGTAATCTTTTTCTGCACTTCTATATACTTCTGCATCAGACCATTTGTCTACTACGAAAGGTTGATCACGATACATTATTTCGCGCGAAATGTCACGGGTAAATATTCGCGCATATCCTTCGGAATGTATTTTCTATTGAATGGTGATGGTTTCAATGAAATTTCAAAATGTATGTTCTTATAACCTGAATATCGAGCTTGAGAAAGTATATTTATCATATTGTACTTATTATATATCGTATGGATAAGTAACACTGAAGCAGTGATTTAGGTAAGATTTTCTACAAGTTTTATTTTCCTGTTTACCCCCAAAGTGGACTATCCCGATTAGTTACACATTCATGGGAAGACTAGAATGTTTCGCCCAAAAACATGCATATGTCTCGTCCTGCGACGGTCAAGGAATCTGATACCATTTATGTTCAATAACAACATCTTTTAGAAAAAAAAATATTTAAATCATTTTCATTAAACAATCTTTAAAAAAATGGTTTTCTTATTTCTGTTCATTTAATATGACACAAGCCTGCATGGGGAAAAAACAATGGCCACGTAATAATTACTATATATTGATTGCTTTAGTCAGGCAAGTTTCTTGAAAAGCTTTTACTTATAACCATGGTTTAGGATCAGTTTTTCCGTGGTGTAAAACAAAAGGTTGTAGTTATCGTATTTCCACTTGTAGTCATGTCGTTTTTCTACTTTGAGATACAGACAAGAAAAATTATAGTAGACGTTTGAGGAAACCCCGGATTAAAACTCTATTGCGAAACAGAATTGCAACGTAATTGTGATGTGACAATCCAACATTTCCTTCACATTTCTTTGATCCTTATGGTACTTTCATTCAAACAAACGCTCGGCTGACTCCGTAAATTCTGACCTACTTATCGGAGTTTACAGAGACAGCAGCCATTTTGGACCCGCTTCAAATTTAGAAATGCGAATATCTAGAGTTTGGATTGATCAATTCTAAAATAAATTATATATAAAGCATTTTCAGAAGAGTCTCTATTAACCTTATTAAAATAAAAGAAAAATATAGAAAAGCAAAAAAGTTTTAAAATACGACTTTTTTAAATTCGCATCCGGTAACGACCGGAAGTATTGACGACGCACAAAAAGGTGATTCCCCTCATCTAGAAGACATAACCTATCATCTCTAACAAGTCTCCAGTTCATATCTTAAACCATTTTTGAAAAAAAGGGGGGACAAAATTTCATTTTAAAATCAGAAAACTGTCAATAACTTGGCACCAGAAGCGAGTTTTCCAAATTTTCCTTCTGATGAACAAAGTTCATTTGACGACGCATAATTCCTGAAAGTTTCATTTAAAACCACTGAATAGTTTTTGAGAAATCGCCTGCACAAAATTTTGGGGAAAAAAATAATAATAATAATAATAATAATAAGAAACAGTAGAATCACTATAAGGTCTTCCGTGAAGACGGAAGACCTTAACTAGAAACTCATTGCGAGCAATGAGAGGTCTTCCGTCCGATTTTGAAAATAAAAACGTAAATTCAATTAAGCTGAAAAGGTGATGAAATATATTCAGACACTCTGGAGATTTAACCCTGGTTGTCAGCGTGAAAATCCAACGTGCTTATCATTAAACATTCACTTTTTTGCATCACTTCCTGTCACAACCGGAAGTAACGGCGATATAAGATTTCCTCGCGATTCAAATAAACTGATGACTGACTACCAGTTCTGAAAGTTTTAGACTTCAGTCGTTTACTGTTGCCGAGCAATATTGTGAGAACTAATTATAATT